CCGATTCGCCGCCGGTTTGCATGTTTTGTTGCATTTCAGTAGTGTTTAGGGTTTCGAGAGAACCCATTGACTCGGAAAAGGATCGGAATTGTGTGGACCCTTCACAGGCACCGGACGATCCGGACTGTCCTAAACTAGTGAGGGAGCCGTTGCCAGAGTTGGGATGACCCGCGGGGACAGCCGTTCCCACACTCGACGAGTGCCAGGTATTGGAGTTTTCGGAAATACTTTCGTCGACACTATTTGACGGTAAAAGTGGAGCTCTGTTTGCAGAGAGAGTCAACTCGGAAGTCGTTTCCTCTAACACTTCACTCAAAACCATTTCATAAGAAGTGGAAGCTTTGGGCTCTCGGGGCTGTTGTCTCTGTTCACCCCAATTGGTTCCCGACATAAACGGCATTTCAACGCCTCCTCTGATGACTGACTCTGGGATCTCGCAGTCAAACGGTTCCTTAAAGTCGTTGACAGGCGTAAGACTGCCGGCCGGCTCGAAGTCATCGTCGGTGACCGATCCGTGTCTTTCGATGTCTTCTTCGACTAATGTCTCACTCGCTTCTGAAGACATTTCTGCTAAATTTCCTGAACTTTCCGACTCAATAGAAATGGTTGAATCCCGGGAACTGTCGCGGACTGATGTGCGCGCCGTATGATAGCTGGTGTCCTGCGATGAGGCGGCCGTCATGTATGAGCCCTCTTGAGATGTGACACACGTCTCGTACTCTGATTGAGTGGTACCGAAGCCACCGCTGCTTCTACTGCTGGAACACCTCAGCTCCGGGATTATAGTCAAATCAAATTCACTACTTGTGGGTCGACTCGACACAGGAGTCCGACTGCTGTCCGACACCTCGAATGAGTGGTAATGACTCTCAGAGCTGGAACCCGACTCCTTCTCCCTCTGAGATCCAGATCTACTGCCACTTCTACTCCCGCTGTCACTTGACTTTCTGGTCGCCGGATTGGATAGAGTTCTCTTGAGTTCGTCGGGACTTATATTCTTATCCAAAACGATAGAACTTCTTCGGACGTATGGCTCGCTTTCGGTAAAACTGATCCGTTTCTGAGCTCTCAATGGGTCGGGACTGATGGGACTGACTGGAGAATCGACGACCACTCGATTCATGTCATCCGCTTCATCCCATTCCCTCTCCTGCTCGACGAGATCCTCGTCTGATATCTCTTCAGAGATATTACTTTTGTTGGGAATTTTAGCCAATTCTTGCTTAGCCTTCACGACAATGGTTTGTGCGATAATCTGCGCCTCTCTCCGGATCTCTTCGTAATTGATTTCCTCGGAAACAGACATTATTTTGCTTTTTGTGGCAGTGTTTTCGTTGCGAATTATTTTCCTTTCTGGAGATCCGTTCACAACCTCTTCGTTCAATTCTTTGGCAAATATTTCGCTCACAATTTGTTTCTTCATTTTTCCCTCAATTTCCACAACACGTCTCTCATCCCTATCCTTATCGCTACCCTTATCGTTGTCTTTATCCCTATCGCTATCCTTATCTTTAGGCAATGAATCACTTCTTTTGTTATCAAACTTATAGTGAGAATCCTTTTCGGATTCAGAGCCCTTTCCTCTGAGCACTTCGTACGGACTTCTCGGTTCGGAATCCGCGGGAAAGGTATCGATATTCTCCTTACCGGCGAACGCATTGTTTTCATACGAGGAATCAGATTCTGTCGCAGAATTTAATGCATCTTTTGTGGCGTTTTGTGGCTTCGAGTCATTGGACTCGTGAGGAATGTTGTGATGTGTTTCGTAAGCTCTGGTTTGCGATAAAAGCTCATCCGTGGGAGAGATGCCGACCTTCACCTGATTGTCTTGAGTCATGTAATCGCTATAATCACAGACCGGAGACAACTGCTCGTCTGAGACGACGTCCACCATCTCAGGTGGCGATGGTTTTGGTAAAAAAGACTTATCGCTCTCATCATTGCTATCATTTTCATTATCTTTAATCCCGATATAAGTCGGAGGAAAGGTTTGCAAAAGGTTTTGCTTTTCTGTAACGCAAGCATTGGTTGCGATAATAGTTTCATGTTTTTTAGTAGACTTTGCTGTTAGTGAAAGAGTTTTTAGTTATATTTAGAGTTAGCTTTTTATGGACTATTCATTATACTGCTACTAATTCATCATATATTTGACAACCAATTAACTCACATTTCACTTTTTATTAATAACCTATAGTTTGATAGCTGTGTTAGTTTCGGTAAAAATATAATTAAATATACGGTCGGATAGTGTGGCACAGAGTTATGAACTGATTGTCAATTATAGACTCATTTACAACATTTGATATATTTTTTGAATGACATCTCTGTCTGTTTGTGTGCATATCAGTGACACAACAAAGGGTTGTTTTGTGGATATTTGGATACAACGATCGGAAAACTGGGAAAATAACTTTGAAAAAAATAATTTCAAAAAATAATTTAAATTATAAATTAAAAAAGACATCAAACCTTTGGAAAAGACAAACAATAAAATAATTTCATTAGACATCGCATATAAAAATTGAATTCATTTAACGTCTCCATAGAATGCTACTAGGTAAATATCCAGGATAATTTACTACTGATATGTAACTTTGAATAATCAATTTATCCGATTTGTATAAATAAAAAATTTTATTTTTCCACTTTTATTTTTTAAGTAATATGTGTAATGAGTTAAAATTAAATGCATTTTAAAATTAATAAAATTTTCATAATTATTAATCCTATTAAAATTATGTCATGAGATTTGCTTTACATTTTCGAAAGCATTATAATAATGTATAAAAGAAGTAAAATCTTTATTATAATTTAAAATATACTCTAGAAATGAGACCTAATTTAAAATCTCTGTATTAAAATGATGCAAATCTTGAATCCATAAAATATTTGACTAAAAATAGTAGCCTTAAGTGTCTTTTGAAGAGATTATTTTGTGGGAAATTTCTTTAATCATTAATCTGTAATGAAATCAAAATCATTTTATCGGTATTTATCCTCATTTTCAACATTCAATCTCATTAGACGTCTGTTAAAAACATTAATGTTTAATGACTAGTAATTAATGAGAAGTTTAGACATAAAACAGAGAATATTCTTATGATATGTGAAAAAGATTAGACGTTTTGAGAGTTAAATCATTTCATCGATTATTCAAATGAGTTAAAAGCAGTTGGAGTTAAAGGACGAAGTTTTTTATGAGACAATCATTGGAAACGTTATGCAATAAAACACAATTCAATTCTTATTGAATGCCAACACATATATCAAACAAAACACCAAAAATTTTAGTTAATTATTGAACCAAAATTAATAAACGAAAAACGAAAACACGTATTAAAAAGCGACACAAATTAGATGCTCTAATGGACTGCAATTTGTTTGTATAAATTGTTTCAATTTGTGGGTTAAATGTGAGTCGACTTACATTTGGGGTCTCTTTCGTCGGTGATTATGGTCGACGTCTGCTCTATAATATGCTGAACACAACCGCTTCCGTCCTCTTCAGTCCACTCTGTAATTAACAAACAAATGGTTTGAATGTTATTATGTTTTCATACAAGTATTGATTGCGGTTTGAATGGTGGAGTACATATAACATGCCATTAATAATTGGACAGTTAGTCTTTTTGTTAGTCGAAAATTGAACTTTTATTTGTCTCTTAATAATTAGTACATTATTATCGGAATAAAAGGCCAAAAATGTTAAATTTTACAGCGATTTTCAATAAATGAATTTTTTTATATAGGAATTTATGTTAATGTTAATCAAACGTCAAACTTATGTGTTTGGTGTTAGACTAAAAATACATGATTTTTATGAGTTAATGGAGTAAAATAAATGCATTAAAATTTGTTATGTGTTAGTTAGCAAGTGAGACGGGACAATTCAATTAAAATCTATCAATTGTTCACCTTTTTGTTCGACAATAGCATCGAAATGCGGTTCGTCTTCAACAGATGTGGTGACTAAAGCGGAAGCAATATTATCGCCGGTGTTTGTGGTCGTAGTGCTCGACACAGTGGCCGTCGAGGGCTCCGACTTCTCGTCCTCCGGCAGACTCGACACCGAGACCTGACTCGTGTCCTGCTCTGAGTGCCAGGTCTCGCTCTCCAGCAGCTGTCGCTGAGGATCCACATTAAGGCCTTCGTCCCCATCTGTCAATCACAGCGTTTAATAGCAACTCATTAGCACTCAATTCAATCCGATGTCTAACCCTGGGTTTGGACAACAGTTGTCTTCGTGACAGCAGTGATCGTGTGTTTAATGGTTCCGTCGTCAAGAATGCTCGTCGTTTCGGTGGTTCTGATTTCCGTCGGTTCGTCTGTTTTCGTCAAAAATAATATCAATTAATATATGTTTATTCAATACATCAAAATCGCGTCAATCGCAAGACCTCTATAGGAGGAGCTCTCTAACGGAATCATCATTTCTTCTTTCACTACAAACAGTTCCGACGGGAGGTTCGAGTCTTCGCCCCTATTCTTAGCCCTCTCTTCCGAGTCCTCTCTGTCCTGCTCTTCGAGGAACTCCAGGAACTTCTGTGCGGCCGCCTCTCTCTCCGACGACTCCTCCACGCGCTTCAGTTCGTCCACTTCGCTGGCCGTACGACTGCGACCCCTGTCCGCAGATAGCGAGTGATCTTTGACTCCGCCTTCACTGCCACTCTCTTCTGCAGATTCCGCCTCCTATTAAGGGGTCAATCAAATTGTATTGCAGACCATCACATGGCGGGCAATGGGTGTCATACCTTCATGATGTCCTGTTCGTCGTACGACACATCTATCGAGACTTCTCGACCGAGAGAAGTACCCCGTGATGTGGTCCGAGAACGACCCAAATCATCCTTAAGCGCGTCGAACCCGTTTTGGTCGACACCGCCAGTGCTTAGCTTAAGGCCAGGAGCGGACAAATCGTATTGCTTTTCGATGCCATCGAAATCGTTGGGCGACGCGTCCTCGCGGCAAATGTCCGGCAATTCGATGTTTAGGTTACAAATGGGTTGTTGTGTGGCCTCTGAGCCGCGGATGCGCTTATTCTCGCGCATAAAGGCTATCCGTCCCAACGGGTCCTGATTGGGGTCTTTGACGCGCATCACAAACGGCAACCGATTCTCGCGGAACGCCCGGAACGTGAGGCTCAGCTGTTCGCCGGACTTTGTCACCGGTATTAGGTTGCCGGCGAACTCCAGGAACTGTGCCTTGTTCTCGAGCACCTCCACGTCGCGCGATTTGGCCACTTCGGTAAAGTGTTCCTGATTTTCCAGCGTCTTCTCCTCCTTATCATCAGTCATGCAGAAGACTCGGAGCTGCGCCTCGGAGGGGTCGTGGCGTTTGGCGAACACCACAAACTTTGACATAAAGGGCACGTGAATGGCCTCCTGATACAACTCAGTGGCGAATTTGGTCGCTTCGTTCACTTGGCGGCAGTCGATGAGCCAGAAACGGGCCGACACTGTGGTCGTGAACGAGACGCAGTCGTTGACAAACGTCAGTGGCGTCGACCCCGTCACATCCTCCCATTGAGCCCGGGTAGTTCCGCCTAATGCAGTGGGTTAGCAGCAAAACAATCGGGTTTAAGAAGTGGCTATCGTTTTGGATATCGTTGGGAGAACTCAAAACTTAATTGAGTTTTTCTTTCATAACAAAACCAAACGGTTGTTCTCAACACAAATTTTGTTGTATCAGTAAAACACAAAAAATAAAAATGAGAACAACCTTACGAACAATAATAATCATTACAATACAAGCCCTCCTCAGGTGGTGTCTCCTCTCCTGCATCTGCACTCTCTGTCTAAGCATATTGTCTATCCGTCTATGCCTTTCCCCACCATATCATAAGCAAAAGCAGCAAAAGAATGGAAAACGAAAATAAACAGAATAACAGACAACGAGTCAAACAAACACTAATTGATTAGATGTTACCCGAAAGGAAACAATGGTTATTATCACAGATATAGTACACAAACGTTAGACTACTTTAGAGGTTACGGTCTAATATCTAGGTCTCAGATGAGTAGTAGTTGTAGAGTACGGACACTAAGAATCTAATCAATGAATCAAAAAGACAATCATTCGACAGACAACGAGAAAAACGACAAAAACAGAACTAAAAAGGAGTGAAAAAAGGAGTTGAAAAGCGGTAGAGAAGCGGAGAAGCAAAAGTGGAGACAGACCTGACTTCGTACTACCTGTTATACTGCATAAGAGGCGGAGTGTGGGCGCGTCGCCGGTGTACTGGTTGATCATCCCGCGGGTGGCCGCCTGGGGCACCGGTATTGTCAGTGTTATTGGTTTATGGAATTTGCGGCGCCGGGGCTCTATCGTGCAGATGGGCGACACGGCCACCCTATTGCCCAACATTTTGGTCACCAGGTCTGACGGTATCGGTTGGGCCTATTGGGGAGAGAAAGCAAAGGAGGAATCGTTTAGTAAATTGAGAATGATAAATGAGCCAGTTCACTGGTCTATATGTTCAGGCACTGGTCGCGGGCACCCACTCCGTGACACTCCCTTCTCATCGACACAAAGATTTATTCATCAAATAAATGTCTTTCGAAGGGAATGTCAAGAATGACCCGTTTTTTCTTAAGTCAAAGAGTAAAATAGTTTTTCGTAAATTACAAGTTAAGAAACAACAGTTAAATATATAAGAGGACAGGTAGCTTAATGCGAGAGCTTTAAAGCCAGACAGTGGACAGGTATTAGTCATTCTCGATTTGACACCATTCCCCCTCACTTTCGTTTACAAACACTTTGAATGCATAGAGAATTTTGAAACAAGAATTCAGTTCCGGCTCTCAATAGACTGTTAGTACATAAACTTTATTCAAGAATTCAAAAGCCCATAGAAAAGCCAGAAATGCAGTAAAGAATTAGTAAATCAGCAAAAGTGAGGCTCAAAAGAGTTTATTTGTTAATAATTTAAAGCGAAAATAAGTCGAGAGTTACATGAATAGCATAAGTAAAGCAAAATTTGTTAAAATTTAAACAATTATAGATTAATAATTAAATTTGTACTGTAATATAAATTAAATATATTATAATTTTTAAATAAATAAACATATTTATAAATATCAATTCAAATGAAAGACAACATTACAAACAATATTTTTTGGCACAAATCATAAAAACAAACGCTTCAAACACAACTAATATATTGATATTTAAAAGTTTTTGTGCGGATTTGACTTTTGAACCTAAATGACAAAAAATTTTGTTTGTATTTCACATCAAACGCGTGCGAATAAAACACATCTTGGTTAAAATTTGTAATATTTTCACAATATTTTTAAGTAAAATATAATTATTCATTCGTTCACTGATTATGTAAGTATTGATTGAGTTTTGTTTTGTAATGAGATTAACACCATAATGCATAATAATTATTTTGTCGTTAAGTATTGTAAACCTTATAATAAATAAATAGATCATTATATATTTGATAACTGTTTCAATTAAATAAATAAATCTTTATAAGTATTGTAATGTACTGTATTTGAGTGATATCTGAGAAAATTTCAGTCAAATTCAAACTCCTCATATTAAAATTTCCAAGATCATATTAAATTATTTAAACTTCTTATATTATTTTATTTTTAACTATTAATTCATTGATTAGTAATCACTGTCTATTATCTAGGATAATTCTAAAATAAAAACTAAAATCTAACTAAAAATCTTAATAAATATGCATTTAATGACTGAGTCTATCGGTCGTGTAATCTATAAAAACATGATCTCTTTGTATGAGATAATAATAATAATAATTGGTTCGGAGACATATATCATTAGTTCAAAGCATCCTCGAGAGGTCCATATTGGGAACGGTAGCCCTGACTAGAAGACTGGTAAAGCAGCCGCCGTTATTGGGCGGACGAAACCGAAACTCTTTCGGCTCTATTAACTCGTTATTAGACTTTAATTTGCTTTTCTTTTTAGACTTTTTCGGGCGCTCTGTTTGAGTGCCTCTGTCTTTGCGTTTGATTTGATCGCATTTCGGGTGCTTTTGAGGCACTGTTTCGCTACTCAATGGCTTGGGTCGAGGTTTTCTACTGAACCTCTTGCGGATCCCCTCTCCGATCTCATAGAAAAGTCCCCGCTTTTTATCATTCATCGCATCGTCGATCACTTCAATACTGTTTCCTACCTGTAGTCCCACTCTTATCTTCTTCGTGAGCGCCCCCTCCGGGAAGATGGCCTGCACTTGGGGTACGACCGTCGACGACACCATTCCACCGTCGGGTCCGATCGCGTGCACCTCTTGACGGATACGAGTGATGACCGCAAAGTATTGGGGAAAGTCGGTCGTCAGGATTCTGGTGATGCGGTTACTGCTGAAGTCGTCCAACGTATTCACATCTATGCGACAAACAAATGGTCATTTCAATGGTGTCTACGATCGCGACAATCGTATATCGTTTCAAATCCATTACCATTCTCTCCTTCAAAGCTCTCGTTCAGCACTTCCTGAACGGCTTCTTCGGACGCCTCGAGAGTGTGTTCCTTCCAGTGCTCTCCGTTATCGCTCCTCAAGATTATGATCTCCCGTTCCTTTCCGCGCAGGGATGCAAAGTGCGGCACTTCGATAATAACAGGTCTAACAAAAGTATAATTACAATATTAATCGATATCCAAGAACTTTGCTGTCTATGGTGGCAAACCGGATGACTTACCCCAAGAACTTAGCGCCTGCCGGTCCCACTTCGAGCAAACGGGAAGCGCAGGCCTCGCCCTCCATGAGTGGCGGCGGATGAATGAGTTTCTCTTTCCTCAGATACCGACAGGTGATCCTCATAGGCATCGGCGCCTTTCGCGGCGGTATAATCACGCGAACCCCGGAGTGCCGGCACCCTCTCATCGCCCCACCCCTGGCGTCCACCATAAAGCTGACCAAAAAGCTAACGGAAACGGCATTGTATCAAGGTTAATCGACTAATGGTTAATCGGTTAATGCGGATTAGTGTTAGCATTTGGATAATCACTTACGTCTTCCACTTTAATCGTCTACAATGACATCCGACGTGCAAAACAGCAAAACAGGCATTTATTATACAAGAAAATCATAGGTCGTTATGAAAGCATTCAAATTCAGAGCCAATCGTTTTAGTTAAAAAACTTCAAATCAATGGATTAAATAGTGATTGAGATAATCAAACACACGTGCACTGAGTTAGGGGTGAATTGGGATCTCAATGGTGAGATCATCTCATCCGGGACTGCGGTTAGCCATTGAAAGAGAGCCATAAAATGTCTTGTGTTTAAGCGCTAACTTAATAAAGCGTAAGAGTTTATGTTAAACTAACGATAAAGTTTACGGTTAATTTAACATATTTTGTTTTTCACGTAACTTATGAATTTTTCGGCCAGTTAAGATCTTTACGATATTTAGATCTTAAGTATATTTAAATTCGTTTTAAAAAAAAGCTTAAAATTTAAAAGTGCCAAAAGTGTGATACTTGTGTCGAAGTCAAAGTATTGCAATTAATTGGTGTTCATATTTTGATCATACTGTTTATGAGCAGTATTCAGTATCAGATATTTAACAATCTCTAAACGAGATTGTTTTTTAAAAAGGAAATCCCAAAAATATTGTGAAGATTTGGCACAAAATACTTATAACTCGCAAAATTAGATATCGCGCTAAATCCCTTATTCAATATAAATTTATAAGTTACTCATCAAAATAATCAGAGATTGTAGACATAAAAATACTGTATTGAAAAATTAATTATCTTATTACTTTAACATTTTTAGCAAATAGATATAAATATTGATTGGGAAAAGCGCTAAAATGATAAATTGGTTAATAGGAGTCATACCATTAATGTAATGCTCGACACGTTAGACAAACGGTAAACTAGTATTAATTGAGCGCAAATACAATTTGATTGCTATTTCAAATGCCAATTAAATTGTATAAAACAAAAAGTGCATTGAATACTTAAAAAGCCGGTCAATTCTAGAAATGCTATAAATCTAGAATTCATATAAATTTAAGCAAAATTAAAAAAAAGCTTAAAATTTGAAAGTGCCAAAAGTGTGATACTTGTGTCGAAGTCAAAGTATTGCAATTAATTGGTGTTCATATTTTGATCATACTGTTTATGAGCAGTATTCAGTATCAGATATTTAACAATCTATAAACAAGATTGTTTTTTAAAAAGGAAATCCCAAAAATATTGTGAAGATTTGGCACAAAATACTTATAATTCGCAAAATAAATCCCTTATTCAATATAAATTTATAAGTTACTCATCAAAATAATCAGAGATTGTAGACATAAAAATACTGTATTGAAAAATTAATTACCTTATTACTTTAAAATATTTAGCAAATAGATATAAATATTGATTGGGAAAAGCGCTAAAATGATAAATTGGTTAATAGGAGTCATACCATTAATGTAATGCTCGACACGTTAGACAAACGTTATTATACAAGAAAATCATAGGTCGTTATGAAAGCATTCAAATTCAGAGCCAATCGTTTTAGTTAAAAAACTTCAAATCAATGGATTAAATAGTGATTGAGATAATCAAACACACGTGCACTGAGTATTTAGCAAATAGATATAAATATTGATTGGGAAAAGCGCTAAAATGATAAATTGGTTAATAGGAGTCATACCATTAATGTAATGCTCGACACGTTAGACAAACGGTAAACTAGTATTAATTGAGCGCAAGAATCGGTCAAATATAACGACAATATGTACTGAAATAATACAGAACCGAATGTAGAGAAAGACCCTAACCTTCGACGCCTCATACGGAGGGAGGCATTCATAGGGCAGATGTTGTACCGCCATAACCGCATGTGAGGAAACTCCAGGTCATTGAAATTCATAGAGCTGTCAGGTTTTTGGGGGAAGTTTTTCAAACAATTCCGATTAATTCAATCGCATAAACCCTTCACCGAAGCGTTTTTATTAATTATCACTTAAGAGGACTGGTATTTAATGATATTATAGGTATTTGTCATGTAATTCATGCCCAGAAATATATATATGACTATCTGTGGCCCAACACAAGGCATTGCATGGCATTCGCCTCTTCCGTATTAATAAGAGCCCAAAAATCCAGTGCAAGTGTAATGAGTCTATCAGCCTATCCATCAGTTTGTTTTACATGGCTTTATATGACTTACCCGGCGGTGATGGGCGCCCGGGATATATCGATGTTGTCGGGCGCCAAGGCGTTGACGTACGACTCGGTCATCAGCATGTGATGCGGTGAGAAGAGCTCCTCGTCCACGGTTATGGGCGCTGTCATGGGTGGTGTGGGTGCGGTGGATATGGATATAGGATACAGCAAAACGTGAGTCAACAGCACCGGTAGCTAAACAAACAACAAAATATTTTCAGGTCGACTCATACCGAGGAGGTCGCGGCTCTCCATTCGCTCGTCTTTAGTCACGTCGAAAGGCAATGAGTCGTCGCCTAAAGACTTCATCTCGTCGGCGGTCAGGTATCTGTAGGACTGGTCGCCTAGCATTTGCTCGTCCACTGCAACAATAAATAAACAAATTATTGAAATATAAAAGTAATAATTAATTCACAAAATCAAAACGTTATTCATAATAAAAATCAATTCACAAACTCAATCAAACAAACAATTTATACCGTATTTTAAGTTTCAAAAAAACAATCGGAAAATACAATAAATCGGAAATAAATGGACAGAAAAATCGAGAGAAAGTAGAAGAATATAAAAGAGAAGATATAAACGGAATCAGAGTTTTTCAAATAGAGAGAGAAGAAGAATGAAGTAATACTTCGTGTAATCACTTACTAGTGGTCTGTTTATTAGCCTCAAAGAAAGGCAGATAGACATGAGAGGAGTGGGTCTGACGCCCACTGTATAGCGGCTCCTCAAGAAATTCTTCACCTGATCAATCAATCGATTCAATCAATTTACTTAATAGTCACACAATTGTTAAACTTTTTTGGATATTCATTCATTCAATTAGTATTTTTTGGATTTTTCATTAGCTTTTTATGATTATTTACAACATCGATACTAACTTTTCGTTTAACAAACAAAACAAATTAAAAACCAATAATCAAATGGTTAAGCTAATAACTTAAGAACTTATAAATATCAGGTGATTATTGCGCCAAGTAACTTTACAGCTCAGCAATTGATTAATCAGGACTACTATAGGCGACAAATGTATTATAAACTATTGCTCTTTTGGTTTAAGCACTTGGAGACGAGACTTAGTTTACGATTTTAATATAATTAAAATGTCAAAATATATGTGGAATCTTTCAAATTATTGATAAAACATTATAGTATTTATGAAAACCTTGACTTATCAATAAAAAAAGTATTTCAAATTACTCTCAATTTTCATAAATAATATCTATTGGTGTCATTATGGATACTATTTATTTATATTTATTTTATATGAGGTTCAATTTTTTGAAATAAATAATATACTTATTGTAGTATATTTTAGTAATAATTCAATTTATCTTAAATTTTGAGAAATAATTCTCAATAATTCAATGCTAATCGTAATAACACTTAAACCAATTGTCTCATTGTTTGCATATTTAAAATGATTGCACTTATATTTTGACAAAAGCTCTAAAATTAGTTAAGTTAATAAAAATATAAAAATATGTTTAACTTTGAAATATAAATCATATTCTTATAGTCAAACCATAGGACGTGCTTCATATAAATGAAAGCAAACCTAAATCTTAAGCTCTATAGGAGTGGACATACATTTGACGCCAACAGTAAAGCCTTTGATAAGAACTGAAACAAACAAACGGCCAAAACATCTCAAGACAACGACAACTACAATACTACTCATTCCCATCGGAATCAATGTCTTAAATGAGTGAATAATTTACATGAACTTCAGTACAGTTCAGCCAAAATAATAGGGAATAGGAATTCGTGCAAAGCGTCAAACAAAACGAAAAGGCAATTGAACTCCAAATCTATGTCTCGATAGTAATACAACTAGAAATCGGATTCACATTAAATTGCATTGAATTACATGCGAGTCTAATGTGAAGTGAAACAGTAAGTCATGCGATCAATACCTATGTTTACAATCGTTTATTATTTATATTTATTTTATATGAGGTTCAATTTTTTGAAATAAATAATATACTTATTGTAGTATATTTTAGTAATAATTCAATTTATCTTAAATTTTGAGAAATAATTCTCAATAATTCAATGCTAACCGTAATAACACTTAAACCAATTGTCTTATTGTTTGCATATTTAAAATGATTGCACTTATATTTTGACAAAAGCTCTAATATTAGTTAAGTTAATAAAAATATAAAAATATGTTTAACTTTGAAATATAAATCATATTCTTATAGTCAAACCATAGGACGTGCTTCATATAAATGAAAGCAAACCTAATTCTTAAGCTCTATAGGAATGGACATACATTTGACGCCAACAGTAAAGCCTTTGATAACTGAAACAAACAAACGGCCAAAACATCTCAAGACAACGACAACTACAATACTACTCATTCCCATCGGAATCAATGTCTTAAATGAGTGAATAATTTACATGAACTACAGTGCAGTTCAGCCAAAATAATAGGGAATAGGAATTCGTGCAAAGCGTCAAACAAAACGAAAAGGCAATTGAACTCAAAATCTATGTCTCGATAGTAATACAACTAGAAATCGGATTCACATTAAATTGCATTGAATTACATGCGAGTCTAATGTGAAGTGAAACAGTAAGTCATGCGATCAATACCTATGTTTACAATCGTTT